GCGACCCTGCCGGGGCTCGGGGGCGCGCGGCGGCCGGGCAGCCCTCTTTCCTTGATGGTCGTGGTGATCGTAAACTTCGGGTGTTTTATGATTTTTGTGAAAGCAGCCTGATGACGTGCTGCCCGCACTCGGAAAGCAGGCTGGTGCTTACTTATTGTTAGGGTCCTGGGCAGGACCCGGGGAGCGTGTCCGATCACGGCCATTCGACAGGACAGAAATTTGGATGCTAGGGATGGTTTTAGCAAAGACGCTTCGATGAGGTGTTGCGGGACTGACATTAGACCCCACGTTTGCCTCTCGCCTCCCACACTCCCGAGTGACCTTGGATGGCTGTTTCTGCCAGTGGACGGCTAAGGCCATGTACCTCCTCACAGCGTCATTACGAGGGTTTAATGATAACTAAGAAACTCCCTATGTAAGACCGGTAATTAATGACTTGGGGAACGAGATTCTTGAGAGAATTTGTAGTGTAAAGTATTTTTCGGTCATACTTTTAATCATTTGACAAAGGGTTTATCGTGTCCAGTGGGCCTGAAGATGGAGAGATATAACGTGACGCTCTTTTCTGTTACTGCAAAAGTTAAACCATATAAAAGCTCCCCTGCCAGGCGTGGTGGCGCACGCCTGTAATCCCAGCACTGTGGAGGCTGAGGCAGGAGGATCCTTGAGAGTTCGAGGCCAGCCTGGGCTACAGAGTGAGCTCAAGGCCAGCCTGACCTGCATAGCAAGACCCTGTCTCAGAAAGACAAAAAGACAAGAAACAACTCACCAAATATAAGTCCTGCTGGGATGTATTACTGCTTCAGGGGAGTCATCCTGGTAATGCAGCAGCTGCTGTAGTTGTAGGGTATGTCTTCAGTCTTTTTTTTTTTCCCCCTGAGGTAAAATTTTTCCATGTAGTTATACTGTATAGTCTGCTTTTAATGACTACTTTGTGCGGATGTACTGTAATTTAAGCACGGGTTGTTTCTCCAGATTAGTTTTATGGAGCTGAAAATGCTGCATATTGCGGCAAGGAGTTAGAGACTTAATGCTTTTCAGAGCAGTTTAGGTAATTTGGAGTCATAAAATGTGTTGTTGGTTCACTAAATTCTCACGAGCATTATTAGTTAGATTGTAACTGTTATTGGCAGTTAGCTAAGGTATGGGGAAGGAGCTGGGAAAGTGCTGAGGCTAGAGAGCTTAGTGGCCCATTACTTTTGGTGGATGGGGACGGATTTGAGAAAAATGGGAAAGAACTCTTATCCAGCTAGGGTTGCCCAGCTTGTGAGCCCAACCGGGTTTTTTTGCAGAGCAGAGATAGGATCGAGGCTGCTGTTTTCTCTCACAGTAGCCTGTTCTGATCCTGTAGAGTGTACTTATTTTCCTACTTTTACTTGGCCCAAACGTACTCTGTAGAACCTGTTTCTTCTCCTACCTTTTAATAAATGTAAAACCTTGCTTGTAGTTTTTTTTAAAAAGATAGGGTCCAGGCAGTCAGCCTGCTGGTGGTACTCCAAAGCCTTGGTGCTGTAGAAGGGAGCTCTGGACGGGCAGAACTTCCACAAGACAGGACAGCATAAGGGGTAGGGATTTGGGATAAGATTGATGAGCATGTTGGTGAGAACTTTGAAAATACGGACCATAGTTATGGGGTAGAAATAGTGACAGTGGAGAAATTCTTCCTGGGAGGCCTACTGGGACTCTGCTCTTGACATTTTCTCCAAGAGAGAGTTTCAGAGGACTGATCTGGTGGATATGTGTGGTTGCCTCTAACGGTCTCTGCCTCTGAAGTTTAGTACTGATTTATGAAAGCTGATAAAAAGCTAGTTTGTCCACTGAACAGGAAGGAACTTTTATGTAGTTAAAAACTTGGATGTTGGTAGAAAGTAACTGTTTTACTGAACTCCGGCAGGATGTTTGTGGTAGCTATAAATACCTTCCAGCAAGGAACTAAAAATGGAGATGTACTAATAAGGGAGGAGGGGCCTGGGGAATGTTTGTAGCTCCGCAGTCTTCCTGCTGTATCACTCCAAGAGGATGGAAATTATCTGTGAGAGAAGAGAGATGTTTGGAGATAGCCTAGACTTTTGAAGGTCAGACCCAGCAGAATTCTGTAAAAATCGCTGTGTAAATTAAGGCAGTGTAACAGTAGTTAGCATATTTGAGTACTGGGGATTCAGGGAATTGGTGGACTTTGAAAGTAAATAAACTGTCACTGGTTGTATCAACATTGCATCTCATGAAATGGAACACTCTAACCCTGCTGACATTTTAGTACTTGGCTATAGCACTTATCACACTGCCCTATGAATACCGAGTAGCCCTTCCCCTTTCTCCTAAACCGTGCTCCTTATTTTTATGTGTATGTTCGTTCGGAGCACCTAGCACAGTGTCTGGCACCCTAGATAATGAATGTTACTGAGTTAAGCTCACATTGGAGACAGATTCAGACAGCAGGGAAATTGAATTTCTGGCATTTTGCACTGGTTATATGGAGCATACTTGGCTATTTTGCTCAAATTAATTGTAATTTTAAAAAGTAGTACAAATATACAAATTGGGATGATTATGAATGAAAAATTCTTGCATGAGAGAAAAATTGTACATCTTTTTATGTTCTGGTTTTTTAAAAAGTGAGGACAGTGATCATTTTAAATAGATAAAAATTGAGTGAAATGTAAGAAATGGCATAGAAATAAACAGATGCAGGAATTGTTAGGATGCACTCAGAAAAACTATGATTGATAGGAAACAGGAAAATACTAAGACTTGACAACATTTTGCAAGATCACAAGAGAAGAGAACGGGGAGTATTGGTGGCATGGAAGTTATCTGGTAAGTTGAAAGGATGTGTAGAGAATGAATCTTCTGCAGTTTCCTCTGTGTATTCTTTTCCTTAACCTTTTCTCCAACCAGTTCTGACATAAGTGCTGGGGAGGAGACCGTGAGAGTGGAAAAGGCGTACTTTGTGACTTTTAATATAATGAGGGAGACAGATACTTACTTAGTCAGTATTTATTTATGTTATCTAATAAAACATGGGAGACATACTTATTTGGTTATTATTTATGTTACATAATAGAAGTTGGTGCAGATTATATTGCAGCATGGAGAGGGAAGCAGTTACTCCTCTTGGGAGATTAGAGAAGAATGTATTCTTTGAGGTAGATCTGGAAAAAAGTCACCCAGATTGGTAGTGGGAGGACATTAAAACTTAACAGAAATATAGTCAGGAGTGTTCAAGGCTTGTTCTAGGATTGAGATCTAATTTGCGTGGTGTAGTTATAAGTATTTATTTACATAGAATACCCAAAGTACTCCACCAAAAGATTAGAACTATAACAAATTCAGCATTGTAGCAAGGTACAAATCAGTACACAAAACTCAGTCGTGTTCTGTACACCAATGATAAATCCGTCAAGAAAGAATTTAGGAAAGTAATACTATTCACAGTAACATCAAGAAAAATTAATACTTCTGAATTAACCTAAAAGAGGAAGTGAAAGGCTTCTGTAATGAAAACTATAGTGCTCTCACAAAGAAGATCAAAGAGGACATTAAAAATTTGAAAGATATGCCCTGTTTGTGGACCAACATTGTCACAATGGCTATACTTGCAAAACTGATACACAAATTTAATGCAGTCCCAATCAAAATTACCTACAGCATTCCTCGCAGAACTAGAGAAAACAATCTTAAAACTTCATGTGGAACCAGAAGAGATCCAGAATAGTAAAAGCAGTTCTGGGTAACAAGAGCAAAGCAGGAGGCATCAACAATTCAGGTTTCAAGTTATAGTGTGAAGATACAGTGATTAAAAACAGCATGGTGGAGGGATCACAAATATATACTGGAGGAAAGATAAGCTTCTTAACAAATGGTGCTGGAAAACTGGCCATGCACGTGCCGTAGATTGAATCTAGACCCATATCTCCCACCATGTACTAAACGAAAATCAAAATGGTTCAGAGATCTACTTTTTTTTTTTGAAACAGGGTCTTGCTATGTAGTTCAGGCCAGCATTGAACTTACTATGTAGCCCAGGCTAGCCTCAAACCTGTGGCAATCCTGCCTCAGCCTCCGGAGTGCTGGGGTTACAGGCATGCGCCTGCCACTACATATGGCTAAGGATCTAAATATTAAGATAGAAATAATCTGCTGGAAGATAAAATAGGTAAAACTCTTGAAGACATAGACTTAGGCTAGGGACTGCCTGAACAGATCTAGTTTTACAAGAAATAACATCAAGAATCAACAGATGAGATTATATTAAATAAAAAGCTTGTGCATAGGAAAGGAAACAAATAGCAGACTGAAGAGACAACCTGTGGAATGGGCAAAAAATTCTTGCTAGTTACTCCTCTGTCTTAATTACTTCCTCATTGCTGTGACAAAATACCTGACACCCACAAGTTAAAGGAGGAAAGGTTTATTTTAGCTCACAGTCTGTGGAGGTTTCAGTCTGTACCTGCTGGCTCCCAAGCAGGCAGAGGAGAAAGTCCCATGGCAGGGCAGGCAGGAGGCAGCAAAGCAGCA